CTTTGCCCCCTCGGGTTCCGGTTTCCCGCCTCCCGCAGCCGTGCCCAACGGCTCTAACCGAAGCGGCCAGGAGTGACAACAACAGTGTATCCGGAAACCAGCGTCTTCCGTGTCGGGTTACGTCACTTCCGTGGGTCACCAGAAACAGAGAGAGAGAGAGAGACACTCTATACCCCCTCTCGCTTTCTTCCCCGGGGAGGAGACAGGAAGAGGCGGGGCAGACCGAGTGAGTGAGGGCAGCTTCAGATGAGCTCTAACCGAAGCGGCCAGGAGTGACAACAACAGTGTATCCGGAAACCAGCGTCTTCCGTGTCGGGTTACGTCACTTCCGTGGGTCACCAGAAACAGAGAGAGAGAGAGAGACACTCTATACCCCCTCTCGCTTTCTTCCCCGGGGAGGAGACAGGAAGAGGCGGGGCAGACCGAGTGAGTGAGGGCAGCTTCAGATGAGGGGGCGGCAAAAGAAGGGGGCGCAAGTGGGGGGATTTGGGATACAGGAGTTTCCTGCTCTCCCCAGAGTTTTTCCTTGTGGGATTGTTCATTAAAGCCTGGCAAGTGCATGTGCAAATATTGCAGCCTCGCTGTTTCTGGAAGGCAGGGATGGAAGGGGGGGGGAATCCACCATGACAGAGAACTGAGAAGTAAACATAAAGGGCAGAGGTAGTAACAGAATCATATCCCTACGTGATACAGGAGAATGTTTAAAATTCATAAAAAGCATCGATTGCTACAGGAGAATGTTTAAAATTCATAAAAAGCAAATTCATAAGAAGATTGTGGGGGTGGGGAACCTTTTTTAGGTCTGGGCAACTGATCCACAGAAAAATCAGTTAGGCGCTGCACACAAGTGAGAAACAAAATCACCCACCCCTCCCCAGCATGGGCTCTCCAATGCTGGAGGGAGCCCCAAGCCTCAGGAGCAGGAGCCAGGCAAGAGAGCAGCTGCATCCAGCCCCCAGGGCCTTAAATTCCCCACTTCGCATCTGTGATATATATAAAATAACATTAACAAAAATAAACTAATTCCTGAACAATCCACAGAACTGGAAAGAGTTTATTGTGCCCTGTCTTTTAGAGGCACAATTCTGCTTTGTGCTTGGAGTAGGGATGTAAATGGTTATTTCCTATTTTATTTCCTGTTTTCCAGTACCTCAAACCAGGAACAGTTGCATCATGTGTCTACTAATGCTTAAAGACTTTGCACCCTTATTAGGTTTAAATTTCATTCCTTTTCAAAATGAGATACTAATCAATGAAATCAATAGGACACTGCAAAGATGCAATGGTTCAACTACATGAATTTAGCTGTATGATCAGGGCTTACATACCAATGCAGGGAGTTGTGACTAACATCTGTGTGCTAACATCATCTACCTCCATTGTCTGTATCCCTCACATTCTTTAGCAGAAATTCCCAAGGGATTGGAAAATGGAGAAAACATAGGATTTATTAGTAATTTAAATATTATGGAAACTTTTGAAAACACTAGCAATGTTATGGTAAAAACAACGAGGAGTCCTGTGGCACCTTATAGACTAACTGAAGTGTAGGAGCATGCACACAATATTATGGAAACTTTTGAAAACACTAGCAATGTTATGGTAAAAACAGTGGGCTTTCTCATCGCTTTTGCAGATTCAGACTAACACGGCTACCCCTCTGATACATGGTAAAAACAGTGGGCTTGTAGAGCTACAGATGGTGAGATTTTCAAAGTCAACATTTTAAAAAAGTATAGCTAGTGGCCTTGTCACAGAAAATGCTCATATTAAAATGCATCTATTATTATCATCATCAGCAGTTTAATGTGAAAAAAGTGCCCCAGGTCCCAGGAACAATTTTTCTAGTGGGGGTGCTGAGAACCACTGAGCCAAACTAAATCCTGTATATAATGGAAACTACTTTAAGCCAGGGGGTGTTGCAACCGGCAAACCTCCCACCCCCTAACTCCTAGATCCAGCAACCTATGCCTAAACCTGTATGGGGCGATGGAGATAAATGTCTATGCACCAAGCGTCGCAGGTTGGTATCTGCAGATCAAGTAAAAATATCTGAGCAAAAATGCCTGCGAGGCAGAGCGGGTGCGTGTGTGCGAAGGGCACCGTTTGCAGCGAGTATTCACCAGCAACCGTCTGGCGGACAGACCCTTCTCCTTCCCCAGCGAGCCCTCCTCCCTCCTCCGACCTAGGGGCCTGCTTGGGGTAGGGTTCAGCTCTGGCTGCGTCGCGGGTTCCCTCTGGCGGCTGCCCGGAGACTCCCTCCCGCCTGC